GTGTGTGTGTGTGTGTGTGTGTGTGTGTGTGTGTGTGTGTGTGTGTGTGGGGTACGTATATACAACATAGACACGGACCTTTTTTACTCTCGCACATCGGCCACTCAAAGTGAACGTACATGCCGATGGGAAAATCAATAAACCAATAGGTTCGCCAATACATGCCCGTTCATTAAGTATCATGTATGTACTTTTCGTCCCGAAATCCGAAACGCAAAATCGGAGAAATCGTATAAAGTGAATGAATGAAACCGTTATCCATCAAAAGTTGTTCACTTTCCTCCAGCCTAAGAGGATTAAGCCAATTAAGCTCCTGATAAAATCGATTTCAACAATTGCAAAATTGTAATTGCAATTTTATAAAAAAGCAATTTGATAATGTGCCACATTACAAGTATTTTTATAGATACAATTACTTGTAAATCACACTCCTCTGGCATTTAATGAAAATTATAAAATAACCGATTACGTTTCGTTGTAAAATCTTTTTCCCACGAATTCTTCAATTCTTCCTACTCTCGTTGAATGTTTCCAAAAGTATCCGACTTATCTCATCTGCAGATTCAAGTCGAGTTAATCTGTTCGGCGGAATACTACATATATTGTTGTCGCCTACGCCCACTCGAGATTTCCCGCGGATCGCGTGCACCCTTAGAGAGATAAATAGCACGATCGAGATCGAAATCGCGGCAATATCGAATTACGATGTTTGCAAACGTCGAATTTACCCCTGACGCTGTACGGACGGTTAGGTTGGTCGAATAACAGCCGTGATCGGAGATTAGATTAGATTTACTTTTACGTGGTGTCGCCACGTAAAAGCCTCGTATGGAAGAAAAGCGCAGGTAAAAAATGCTTATATTATATACATAGACGCGCGGACGTTTCGATCTTGAAAGCTTATATCCTTAGCTCTTATTGTCAGTGTACCGCCTGCCATAATAATACATGTAACCTGTTTGCTCGATAGATACGATCGATACGATCGAAAGGAAATCCAACAGATCACTTCGATATAAAGTTTCATGTAAATCCTAATAACAATATGCCGCCTCTTATACACAGTATAATGTATAATATGTACAAGTATAGGTATGTACGCGGTAATTATTGTTGATACGTTTATAAATTTTATTAGTCCATTTACTTGAAATTATTTAAAATGTATCGATTTTAAATCAAGCGACGTGCTTAAATTGATGTCTTCATTCTGAAAGATTACTTTGATTTTGGTCACAGGACTCGCAGATCTGTCTCTTTAAATAGGTAACTACTGTCTCTTGTCCAAGATTTTAGACTAACAATAAAATCTAAAAACTCTAAAGCTGGTTAATCTTGTTGATAATTCTGGACGACATCAGCATACTAGTACTATATCAGTGCATACGTGGTGTCAGGTAGACGTGGATCCATACATGGTGGATTAGCGCGCGCCTGCATTCAGGTCGCTGCTTCGGATCGCGCGATCTCGGGATCTACGCAGTGTTGCACTGCGCTGCGCTGCGTTGGTGAAATGTGAAATACCGTACCTATGACTTTTTGACGTGCTTTTAACAGATTGAATTGAAAATGGCTCCGTGGCTCTCCCGCCGCGCCGCGACATCCGTACCGAGCGCATACCGAAACGGACAGGCGGAGAGAGACGCGCGCGCGAGAGAGAGAGAGAGAGAGAGAGAGAGAGAGAGAGAGAGAGAGAGATGTGTATAATTCTTCTTTTCTTCCCACTCTCCCACATTTCGATCTCTCCTCGCCGATCTATTTATCTACCTACCTATCTACCTATCTACATACCCCTCCGCGCGGATTCCGTCGGACTCTCTCTTTTTATTTTTGCACATTCGCTGATGCAGCACATCGCAAGCTGCACTGGCGGAAACGATGTTGGGAGGGGAGAGGGAGAAGGGAGGAAGGGACTGGACCGGTCAGTCCGTGCAGAAGGGGATGAGCAGAAATAATGTCCTGGCTCATTTTTTAAAGCCGCCCCCATCCATCCGCCGCGCCGCGCCGGTAGGATGGTGGTCGGAGTTCTACGGGGGAAAAAAAAGTGACGGACGCGCGTAGAGGTATAGGTGCGGGTGTGGACGTAGACACACACGCACGCGCGTATTCGGATCCGATATTATACGGCTTATACCGTTATACGTGATAGCCCGACACGGCGCGGCGCAGCGCGGCCGTGGCCGGTCTGCCACCGGATGTGAAACGGTCAAAGCCAAAAAGCACTCTCCGCCGAAACGGGCTATATATTATCCGCAACCCTTCAAATACAGAACCGTCCGCGAAGAGATCCATATATAACGTATAACGTGTGCGTAAGCTCCACTTGTCCTGCGAAATCCCCAGCCACCGTCTCTCTACTCGAGCTACTTTAAGTATTCGCAATTTTACTCTTTTTCTTCTCTTTCTTTTTTCTTTTTTCTCTACTTTTTTCTTCTTTCGTTTTTGCTTCTTTTATACAAAAACTAATTCTCTAAATAAATAAAGTTTGTAAATATAGTTT